TCCAGGCTAGCACAAATTTCCAGCAATATTATTAAAAGTCAATGACTTAAATATTTTCAAAGAAGGCTTCTGACAAAATCATTAGCCACACACAGTTTTATGATCAGCATGATCAATTATGATTAGTTATCTGGATTTTTATCAGTCTTCTCAGAATACAATTTACACAAGGCTTGCTTTAAAAAGAATAATCATGATTTTTAAACGGCTTTTCTGAACTGCGGCATAGTCACCCATTCTCACAGTTGAGAGTTTAAAATGTTTGAATTTCAGACTGGTTAAGGTCATGATCAGATGCCACTACACATTTATGAGACGGACGAGGCAGGAAAAAACAAAACAAGCTGACCAAACCAAGTGGGGACTGAGGAGGACACCCAGACTCTGGAACTCTCAGGCTGTGTTATGAGAATACAACCACAATTTCTGAGAGAGTTAAGCACACTAACCAGGCCACATGGCAATCATGCTCCTGGTTATTTACCCCAGAGATGCGAAAAGGATCAATGTCCAAACAGAAACCTCAAAGGGAACACTCAGAGAACATTTACTATCATCCCCAACTGGAAACCACCCAAATGGACGCTCATTAATTGGTGACTGGGGGAAGAGACTATGTCCTTCCTTAGAAGGGACTTACTACTCAACATTAAAGAGAATAAACTGCCACTGCATGTGACATGCCTGAATCTTACGCTCATCATTCTGAGGCAAAGACGCCATCCCCAGTAGGTTGGTAACTGTGTGACATACTGACTGTATGACATTCAGAAAAGGACGAGAGAGAGAGAGAGAGAGAGAGGTGTAAAAAACAGATCAGTGGTTGCCTGGGGTGGGACTGACTGAGAAGGGAGCAAGTGGGGACACTTGGAAGTGCCGGGACTCATTTGTATGTTGACTATAGCAGTTATGTTCACAGACATAGCTAGCTGTATGCCTTGGCTTATAGAATGGGCCACCTAGAAAGAAAGCATGTAAGTTTCACTTGAATAAACGTAACCAGTCAGTGTGTTGACCTGAAGCAAATAAAGAGTTTAGACTCGGCATAGTCTCTAGAGCCATTCTTTTCAGAGGTACAAACGGAAGTCAACAACCTCCCCGCCTCAGTGGCAGAGAGACAGGGTAACAGCCCTGGCAGCTGAAGACCAGGGAAAGGCTACCGTGTTACCATGGCTACATGCTTCTATGCCCTTTTGTGTGAGACCGCTAATATTAAATCATGACTCACATGCACTGCAGGGGGAAACTCAGAAACAGCTAGACAATCCTCAGACACCCAAGGTTTTCTCCACTGAAACACCCTGCCTGCAGCATTTACTCCATAAACACATTCAGAAACCATGTGGTGGTAATGAAGATATCCTGAAGGGATGTAAAAATGAGCTACAAAACTTTTTGGTCAAACATGGAGGTAACTCCAAAAAGTGTTTGCTAGACCCAAGCCATTAAAGCCCATTATTTTCTTGTGCTTGTCACAGAAATATCCCCCAAACCCAGATCAGTGGCTGAAATGATGACATACGGAGGTCACCCCTTTCCCACACCCAGCTGCAATGAGCTTCACCTAAAACAGTTCTCTAATGTGTGGGATGGATAGTGGGCAGATGAAGAGCTTTCAAAATCAGGACAATTATCAGAAGTGGGACCCAATTTAGCAAGTTTTCATGATTTATTTAAAGTGATAATAAGAAAAAATAGGACTCTAAAAACACACATCTTTAAAAAAGTTATGTTAAAGTAAATTTCCTATGGGACAAGGGGATTCTCCAAATGGATGAGCAGCTCAAAGAACGATGTTTCTCTGGAGAAGGCTCAGGAGTGCTTGGTGCCTCACCTGAAGGGCTACGTCACTACACTGGGCCACCAATTCCCTCTCTTCCAGGTGTACTTCTCCCCGACTAACTCATCCTTAACTCCTCTGACTTCTTATAGATTTTAAGTTGCAACCGTATTTAAAGTTTTTATGTACTTGTAAGATCCTATCAGTTTTGACTCAGCAAGTTCATGGTGCAAAAGCATAATATTAACTGAAAGGTTGGAGGTTCATGTCCACCCAGTGGTGTCTTAAAGTAAAGGTCCGGTGATCTGCTCCCTAAGACCAGTTATTGAAAACCCTGTGGAGAACATTTCTACTCTGATACACACAGGACCACCATATATTATAGTTGACAGGAAGTTATTTGTTTTTAAAGATATTCTCTTAAGCCAATGAAGGTGATTTTTATTCAGGAGGGAAAGAGGGCCTATTGCTGGAGGTGTGACAGACCAATCTTTGGGAGACTCAGATGATTTTTTTCCTGGCAAGGATCATGTGTTAGACTTGGTTCTCACGAGAAGCAAAACCAGGGACATGCTTGTATGTATTTGTATACAGAAAGAAAATTCCATCCAGAAATAACTTACACAGTGGTAGAAGTAGGTAAGTCCTGTCAGGTTCAAGTCAGGCTTCTCGTGACTAGTGGAAGCTGATGAACAGGACTAGTGGGATGACTAAGCAAGTGGCATGGGGCACAGGCTGGTTGACCCAGAGGTAAATGAATCCAGAGTTGGCCGAATGAAAACACCATCAGTAGTCCATTGATCCCTCCTGGGATCAGAGGTGTCAAGACAGGAGATCGAGGAACCAGATATAGCAGAAGGCAAAAGGCCAGCGAGAATTCTATTGCCGATCCCTCTCTCTCTTCTACAAAGACCACACCCCCAAGAAGCTGTCATCTAGTTGACAAGAGTCCCTGACCACTCCCACTAACCCACATTCCTCTGTGGCCTCATGCTGCAGCTGTCAGAGTGAGTTCTAAGAGCAGGGGCCTGAACAGTGACTGTCATGACAGGTTCCTGGCTGGCGCTGACCTCTGAATTGCCCTGATTTGTACAACACACACAGTGAACAATAATCAGTTAGGATTCAAAACCAAAATTCAGAATTTCCTTTAAAATGACAGAAGGTGTTTATTGAGAATTTCTGTGGCTTGGTCATTCACTTGTTCAGGATTCCTTTCCTTCCTAATTGTTTTTTCCTTCTTCTCTAATGCTTCTGTGACTATTACTGCTGATCATTAAGACATTTGAGGAGGTGATCTGTGCTTACAGAGCAGTCAAAGTGAATGGAGGAATTGACCAAAGAGAAGAAGAAACACACAAAAATCAATTCACTATCTCTTTTAATTTCCCATCCTCCTGCCTATCTATATTGTCCTTGTTTAAACAAAAACAATCTTTTTTCAAAATACATTGGTTGAATTTATAAGCTCAGAGAATAACAAAAACCCATGTGTGATGATCAGTTACTCCATGCTATACTAATATCACATGTTGTTTCCCACTGTGATCAAGTTGCCCCCACTACGTGGAGACCCCCTGTAAGCAAATGCTTCCCAGACCTCCACCATCCCCATTTCAGTTGCACATCGAAGCACTGTGATCCACAGATGGCCACAGACTGGTTTCGGAAGTAGAGAGTTAAGCCTTTCTTTGTCTTTCTTAGTCGTGAAGGTCTGCTAAAATGTCTTTATCATCATAACACAAAAGCAAACCTATTGCCTTCAAGGTGAGCTGATCCTGACTCATAGTGATGCTGCAGGGCAGCATGGGATTGCCCAATAGTAATTCCAAGGCTGTCATCTTAACAGAAGGAGCCCCGCCTTCCTTCCACAGAGTGAGGCTGGTGGGTTTGAACCACTGACCTTTTGGTTAGCAGTCATGTGCTTATCTGCTCACACAGCCACCAGGGTTCCTGCTCAGCATTATAACATGTAACCCTCCAATGACATGAGTCATAAAAGTTCACAAAGTGCCTCAGCCAGAAACTAAACCTTCGTCTCTTTCACAGAACGTGAGAATTCTACCACAGAGCCACTGCCGCTCTCATACCCTAAGACCGCGCCTTCAGTGACGTCTTCGGGTTAACCCAGTTGTGATTCTGTGAAACCCTTTCTGCCCCGCCAGCATCCAGGCATTCCCACGCTCAGTCCCTACCCCACCACACGGCTTCCCTCGTGCAGCCCCTGGCCTCCCTCTCCTTCCCAGGCACTGCCATCAATAGACACCTGGAAACTCACTGTGCTAGCATGAACCTTGGCCCTCCACTGCCCTGCTTCCCAGTGGCCTGTCTGCAAGCCTGAGAATTCCGTCATTCCATCTAGAAACCTTTCTTAAACTTGCAAGGTGCTCTCATACGCCAACTAGACCCTGAGTACAATCCAGAGGGAGGAGCAGCACAAGAAAGCACATAGCCATCCAGCCAATTCCGACTCGCATCGACCCTACAAGACAGAACCAAAGTGCTCCTGGGGGTTTCCAAGATGGCAAATCTTTGAGGGAGCAGAGAGCCTCGTGTCTTCTGGGGACTGGCTGGTGGGCTTTATCTGTTGACCTTACGGTTAGCAGCCCAGTGCTTCTCCCACAGCCCCACCAGGGCTCACGGAAGTTGTATTTATACTGTGCCTGAAAACAAGCAGGAGCTGGTGGCTCAGCTGCTAACCAAATGCTCAGAGGCAGGACCGGCAGCAGCTCCCCAGAAGGGAGATGAGCCCGGCTGCTCCTGTGTCGAGATTACCTTCTTGGAAACCCTCTGGGGAAGTTCTACTCTTTCCTACAGCATCGCTAGGAGTAGGGATTGAGGCAACAGCAATGGGATGGAAAATAAAAACACATCCACATGACGTGCTTTGGGAAAATCAGTGGGCAAGCTTGTATCTTAAAGGTGCCAAGACCACATCTTCATTATGGACATCATGACTGACGAGGAGACTGGGACCATCTGCCTTGAGGCTGATTTTTCGATCCTTTCCATACGCTCTTTCCTTTGCTTCCTAACCTGAGGGTGTATTCCTTCAATACATGCCTTTAGCCTGCCTTTGCTCTGCTTTCTCTACCATTTCACAAACAGTAGCTGGCACGTCGGACTTTCATTTCTTCCCCCCTCAGGCAATGGCGGCAACTTTGCCTTCATTTCCCACCCCCTCCCTTGCTTGCAGTCATCCCAGCAAAGGAGCAGGTACCTGCTGCATGCCCTGCATGGTCTGCTGCAGGAACTGCAGCTGCTGCTCCTTGGTGAGGTTCTCTTCTGTGCGGAAAAGCTGCTCTTTTTCCTGCTTCAGCAGCTCCACTTCGTTCCTGTAGGCATCCAGCTGCCAGCGGAGACTGTCGTTCTCTTCTTTCAGGGCATAGGCCTGGGCAGCCAGGGCTGAAGGGCAAACAGAGGGGTTCAAATCAGCTACCTGGTTGGCACAAAGGGGCAGGGATGGAGAGGGCCTCCTGCATGGGAAAGGAGTCCCTGTGGGGTGCAAACACATCGTATGCTTGACTATTTGCTGATGGCGTCCACTCAGGGCCTCCTCAGAAGAAAGGCCTGGCAACCTAGTTCTGAAAAACTGGCCACCGGAAACCCTCCAGCACACAGAGAGGTTGCCCTACGTTGTAACTGACTTGACGGCAATGAGCTAAGGAGCCTCTCATCTCAGAAGTGAAACCAAAGAGCATTCCCGGGGGGCTCTTTATTTTGCAACTGGTACATGCCATTTCTTTTGAAAGTCTGCTCTTAGTCTATTGGGTCTGACTTATCTGAATGGGTCCTCAAGGCCCAAGGATTGGTTCCTTCCAGTCTCTCGCTCCTGACCATTTTCCCGAAGCCTAGGCACTTCTCACAAACCCATCTATGATGCCAGGCGATGAGGACCTCCGGATGCACAGGCAACAGGCCTATCCACTGCCTTGCTGTTTTCTCCCTTCCTGCAGGCTTGCTTAGCTCCTTGGAGAGCTGCTTTCTTGCCAATAATCAGCAATTCCACAGGTTGAGGCATGCAACAGCATCCCTGGGGACCAAGGAATTTATATGCACACCGTTCCTCCATCTCCCCTGCTGGGACAAACTGCACAAATTGTTTTCTCTAACTCCTTATCAGAATAGTAACCTAGTTCCATCTGTTTTACCAACAGATTAAAACTCCTTTTCCCTCCCTCCAAGGCTGAGCAGGTCCTCTAATTCTCTTTCCTGAAACCCAAAAGGCTCTGTGTGGATTCAGGTCTCTCACCTCTTCACTTGCTCACTGAGAAGCCAGGACAGGAAGCTCCAGGCCCTTACCCAGCCTGGAGGCCTGGGGACAGGCTGCACTAGAGGAATCACAGAGTGTGGGCAATACACACGCAATCTACTTCCCCGTTTACTGCCGAGCCTCTACCCCCACGAGCAGGACCAGCTCGCTGAGTACCCGCTGCGCTGCAGCCACCGTCTGCTCAGAACTCACTCCGTCAGCCCATACATACATCCATGAGGATGCAGGTGCTCCTGTGATCGCCATCTTGACAGATGAGAAACATAACCATGTCCACAGGGTAGCACTAAGCCTGTGGAAATGTTCTCTAGTGTTTTCGTGCCCGTCAGTCAGCTCTATGGAAGCAGATCACCAGGCCCTGCTCCTCTGGAGCCTCCAGGTGAGTGTGAACCCCCAGCCTTTAGGCTAAAGTACAAAGCATTTAGGCCACCCAGCAGGTCCTTCAGAGCCTGCTTGCAATCACAAGCCCGCTTGTCCTCCCGTGCTGCTACAGTTCCTGCCAAAGCCAAAGAACAAACTCACCGCCACTGAGTTGATGCTGACTCACAGGGACCGTACAGGGCTGGGAAGAACAGCCCCTATGAGTTTCTGAGGCTGTAACTCTTTACAGGAGTAGAAAGCCTCATCTTTTTCCTGTAGATCGGCTGGTGGTTTTGAACTGCTGACCTTGTGGTTAACAGCCCAATGCCTAATCACTATGCCACCAGGGCTCGTTGTCTCCCCTTGTCCTCTCCTCTCCCCCAAACGGCCTATACTTTCTTCTCATTCTCACCACAAAATCTATCTTCTACTTTCAGAAACAAGCAAAAACATAAATAACAGGAGAAGCCTGTTGTGATTTCACTTTTCAAAGGTGTAACTTCTGCTGTTGAAGGGCCAGATGTCACCCTGGTGACACGGCAGGTTCACAGCACAAGCTGGTTTCAGTAGCCCTGGGTCAGGGGTCAATTCGAGCTGCATAGGACAGGCAGGGCTGACAGATTTTCAGCAAGGCACTCCAACACACCAGTGAGTACTCTCCTCATAGATCAAACATCAAATTATGTTAATAACAGTCTTGCAGCTGAGTGTTTTATGGTATTCCACCTTGCTAAATGATGATCTATGTATAGCACACACTAAAATACTAATCAAACAGAACATGTAATTAACCAGAAAATTCCCTACCTCAAACCATCCAGGATCAATTAGTTGACAAGCATTTACTGCATACTCACTTGGTGCCCTGGTCTGTCTAGGCATCTTGGAAAACACACACCCACACCCACACCCACCACCACCACCGCTGCCGCCGCCGCCAAAAAGAGGAGGCAGGATGCACTTCTCCTCTCAGGAGCTTCCATCGAATCATGAGAGACCATTTTGAAAGCTGATTGGCACTAGTACGTTCAAAGGTGGAATGAGCAGCACAGTGCAGGGCACAGAGTAAGCACCCAGCAGCTATTGGTGGACTGGGTAGGAAAGCAGCTTGGCATCGAGGTATGTGACTTAGAAATGCCTCTTGCGGGAGTGAGAGAAGACCCCAAACCAAGCCCGCTGCCCTCAGGTCCTTTCCGACTCATGGCAGCCTTCGAACACAAGGGAGACTTGCCTCCACGAGGCTCCTGGGGCTGAGACTCTTTATGGAAGGAAGTCAACTGTCACATCTGTCGTCAAGTGGCAGCCGCCAACCTGTCAGTCAGCAGTTGAATACCTTAACCACCATGCCACCAAGGATGCTACGGAATTCAGAGAGAAACGCAGACTGGAACTATCAAGAAGGCTTTGAAGGATGTGCTGGCATATCAATCAAGGGCGAGGGCACAGGGGAAGGTCCCAAGATGAACCCTGAGGACAGAACACGGAAGACGGAAGAAGGGAAACTTGGCTGAAAGCCAAGGAGAGTGGAGCCGAGGCTGGGGGTCTGCGCAAGAGGGAGGCTCAACCTGGCGCCAACTGAGAGCCCCGGGAGGGCCTTTCTTGGGAGGCGGAAGGAGATGATGGGATTGGTGATTTAGGAAGATTAGTTTGGCAGTGGTGCGTGGAACGAACTGCAGGCTGGAGAGAAAGGAACTTTTATTTGGCGTAGATGTGTGCGCACCTAAGGCGCCAGTGCGTTGAGTTTCCAGGGCTTCCTCATAAAATCGGAAACGACTTCGGAGAGACCTGGGCGCCAGAGCTAGTGTTTCGGAATGTTGCCGGCCAGCTTCAGGCCCTGGTGACACCCGAAGACAGCGCAGGTAACCAGGAAACGGTGATAAGGCATCATTTGGGAGAAGGGTGTTGTAGCAGGGGCAAAATTATGGAAAATGCAAATGATGAAAAAAGTGTTGGCACTACAGAAGCACATTAGTGCATTTAGTAGCATTCAAAGACACTTAAGTCATTTCCGTAGGAAGCTCTATTTGGCCCTTTTTCAATTCAGAGTGGCATTTTTATTATCATAACTGATAGCAGGTGTTTGTGAAGAAATCGATTAGTATGCAGGGATGGAAATTACATTTTCCAAATGAATTGCATAGTCTGCAAGATATGCCAAAATCTGCGTAGCAAAATGCAAGCAGCTATAAAGCATGTGCCAGCTACATTATTCAAATAAATTATCCAAACATAAATACATGCGGGGAACGTGCACTCGTCATTGTTTGGGGGCGCTCTTCGAAGCCAGCAGAATTGTACTGCTGACACACTCTATTCTTGGCGGGTCTGAATGGCCACTGTGCCTGCCAAGCAGGATACAATGCTGTCTGCATTGCTGAGGGAGGAATGTGATATCATTATATAAAAAACAGCTGGGACTCCCCAATGTATGTGTCCACCCTACTCACTCACCCCCAAAGAACACTATAGCATTCCCATCAACGTTTGTATAATTGGGGTGTGTAACTGATTTGCATTCCTGATTAAATAATTTCAAACTTGATCTTTAAGAAGGAAATTTGGAGGACTTGAAGTTATTCATATGGCAGCAATGTGGCTGTCTCCCAACGGGTGAGCGATTGCACATTGACTCCACTCAGTTCCAGGCCACCTGTTGGCGACCATCACTCAGCATCACGCACACAGCCGTCGTGACGGGCCTAGCCCGTAGGCCTTACCACCCTGACAGAGGCTCTACCGGTTTCCTGGATCCAAGGTGTAAAGGAAGCCTTGTAATAATTGCTGACTTAATATAAGGTCTCCACGTGGAACAAACCTGGGAACTTGTGCTGCTCTCGCTTATCCCTTAAGCTCTTTGCAGGACATTGTTTACAACGAACGAGTTTGGGGAAATCGTGTTAAATTGAGCTTCAGTGAGAAAGTTCCCCCTCGAGGGACTGCCCAACACATCCACCGTTCAGACAAGCAGATGGATTCAATGTAAACGTTAGTATCTCTGTGTTGGTATAGTATGTCATTGTTGGCACTATGTATCTGTTGGTGTGGTATGTCCGATGTACAGCACATCACTGTTGGTACATCTCTGCTGGAGTATATGTCTGTTGGTGTATCTCTTTGGTAGGGGATACCTCTCAGTACTGCAGAGCTCAGTGGGTGCATTATATCACAGTTGGTAAGAATCCCCAGAGTGTTATGGACATCAGTAAAAGGAATTCTTTAACTGAAAAGTACATGTGGATTATTGATTTGGAAAAAAAGAATAAGACACTATGAACATAAACTATATTGAAGCTAATTAGAACTTCCTTTGATAATTTTGAAGACCATTATGAATCTAACCCTGTGTCTGGATTATCATTATTTAATTCACCAATCGACTGGGAAGTGCTAAGAAATCCATAAGGAGACCCTAGCCTGCCTGAGTTTATACTTGCTGGTACCTTGGAAAAATCCTGGTCCCTGGAATTTTCTGACTGGGTCAAACAACATTGGAAATTGCTTGCCTCCCCCTCCAGTAAAGATTCAATTGCATTTTTAGAAATTAGCACTAGACTATTGAAACTACCAAAATGATGGTCGGTTTGGAAATTGATCCCCAAATGAAACTACAGTGGAAGATGAGGTCCATCGGTATGAGTGTACTGGGCTGAACCCTGAACCAAATGCCACACAAACCACGATGCTTTACATTAATTATGGTCAAAGTGACCTCCTCCTCTGTCTCCGGTATTACTTACTGTTTCCCTGGGAACAGATAATGATGTGCTTAACT